TAATCTTGAAAGTATAAAAAAAAAAAGTTACTTTATATTACTATTAGTTATTTCATTGAGATCATCATAATGAACACTTACTATCCCAGTCAGTGAAATGCAGTAAAAACTAAAAAAGATACTAACAAAGGCAATAATAACAAAGAAACTTCATGGCTTGAATGAACTTACCATTCTTCTTTTATACTTTCAAGATTATCTACTTCTTTCATTCTCTTCTGCCTTACTGTAAAGGTAAAAAGAAACAAAAGCTAAAGTTGTGAATCTGGCGTTTTAAATAAACTCATTCCTATGCGTACATTCACATTCTTTAACATAAGTTATTATGTGTCCCTAAAGTAACACTTAAAGGGTCTTAGGAACAAGTAAACAAACTCAAAGCTGTCACTAAAACACAGTAAAATTACTATGTTTTAAATTACTTGAGATAATGCCCGTGTGGTATTGCCACCTACTTGATAGTCAATTCAGTTAATTTGCTTCTTAAGAGTGTAAAATATTTATATGGTTCCAAAGTTGACCTAAAAAACAAGTTATATTCAGAGAAATCCAGTTTCCATTGTTGCCCCTTCCACCCTGTCCTCTCTCTCCCAGCTCATGGGTAACCTTATTTATTTTTAATTTTTCCTAATATAAGCAAATAGCTGTATTCATACCCACTTCTCCCTTCGGTAAAGAGTAGCAGCACACAAATGTGCTATGTGAAGTCACAGACAATAGTTATGAATCGCCTGCCGACTGCAAAACTAGAGGTGTCAGCTGTCAAAGTTCAAGTTAGGAAAAATCAGGCCTGTTTTATGTAATCTGGAATGTCTGGTTATTTAACTAAGGAAAACACAGGGGGTCAATGGGGTAAAAAAAGGAGACTGTAATACTTTCAACTATAAAGATACATTTTTAAATAAAGTAAGTTTTCAGCCCTGGCGGGTGGCTCAGTTGGTTGGAGCACCATCCCATACACCAAGAGGTTGCAGTTCCATTCCCTGGGCACAGGGCACATACCCAGGTTGTGGGTTCGATCCCTGGGAGGGCGCGTGCGGGAGGCAACCGGTTGATGTTTCTCTCTCACATTGATGTTTCTCCCCCCCCTTCTTCTCTCTAAAAAAAACCCCACAAAAAACAATGGACAATACCCTTGGGTGAGGATTTTTTTTTAAAGTAAGTTTTAAGCACGTTTAAAAAGAAAGCAGATGCCAGTCATAGCCACTGAAGGTCCACCAGATCCATCCCAAAGCAATGAGAACCAGAAAGAAAATGGGCAGTAATCTACTGGCCCCACTTAAAAGTCTCCAAAGGATCCGGAGGTGAAGTTAACCTGGGTAAGCTGGGACCAGGGGCAGCCTCTCACCAGAGGAAACCGGAGTCTGACCTTAGGCCCTGACTTCCACTCCCGGTTCCTACTGCGGACGGAGCGGGGCGTAACCACAGCCAACGTGGGGCGTAACCACAGCCAACGTGGCTGCAGAGCCGAGGCCCATGTAGCCTCTGTTTGCTGGGAATTAAAGTGGAACAGTGGAGTTTGCTCTGGGAAAGATCCTATCCTTGAAAACCGTCTTCTATACCTTTATTGTTTTATTATGACTTGAATATAAACTGATAGTGAATTTATTTCTTAGCCTATTCATGAGAAAATTGTGAGCAATTCTGAAACACCAGGTGGAACTGACAGGAAGAAAGGAAATTCAAAGGGGCACAGGGACCCCGGTGGGGGCAGCACCTTCCCCGGCATCCCCATCAATAACCTCCAATAATCTCAGACGCTACCTTTTGGCTGGAGGGTCAAGTAGGGGTCACTAAAGCCACACTATCATTTCAGACTATGTGTATATGTTACTTTGATTAAAAGTTTTAAAAATCAGAAAACAAGTTAAAAACATTGGGAAAATCAGAATTTCACGTTCACTAATGTTTTCTTCTAAGACTTTGCCCTTCAAACCTCATCATTTCTAAAACGATTTAATTGTTTCCCTTTAAAAACTGCTTCCCTTTCAAACGTACACAAAAGGATAGAGAAAATATAAACACCCATCCCCACCATTCAGATTCAGAAAAATTTACATTTTGACTTACTTGTTTCTTTGTGTTTGTTTAAGGAATCAAACATTATAGGCATAGTTGAGTATATTTAATACTTAAAAATATTTAATAGTACTTAATATTCAAAGAAAAAGATTTAAAATAAAAACATTTAACACCAAAATATTTATTAAATGGTATGTCTTAAATATGTGCATCTTACTGCATATTAATTATACCCTAGTAAAGTTTTAAAAAAAATTTAAAATGTATATTCAGCAACCGCCGTATACCAGGCATGATTCTAGGTGCTTGGGACACACACCGAACAAAACAAAGGTCCCAGCCCTCGTGGACATTACGTTTCCGTGGTGCTGTTTGTTTTTTCTCTTGGCAGTTTTCCAACATTATTTTCAACTGCTCTAAAATAATCCCTTAGTTTAGATACGATCCTTACTGTATCACAAACATAACATCTTCACTCCACTTCTTGGCTCACATTGTAACCATCCTTGGAGGCACTGAAATCCTAATCATCCTTCCGAGTCCCAACCCAAGATCCACTTCTACCATAACGGTGAAATAATAAACCCTTATTAATACTCCTTTCCTAAAGCATTTAGATTTTTGGCGTTTAAATCATATTGTCTGATAGTGTTTACTGCTGTTTCTGTTGTTTTTTTTTAGTCTCTCTACTGGCTCCAAGATCCTTGGGGACAGGTGTCATGACTTACACGTTTCCTGCTGCTTCTGCTTTTTTTTTTTTTTAAATCCTCACCAGAGGATATTTTTTCCATTGCTTTTTCAGAGAGAGAGGGAGGCAGAGGAGAGAGAGAGAGATCAACGTGAGAGAGACATGTCGATGGGCTGCCCCTGCGCTCGCCCGACCGGGGCCAGGGATGGAGCCCGCAACCCAGGTACGAGGTAGTGCCCTTGGCCGGAATCCAGCGGGGGACCCTTCAGTCCCAAGGCCGACCCTCTAACCACTGAGCAAACCCGCCAGGGGCGTTTCCTGCTTCCGCCACAGTGCACAGCAAGTGCAAAGCAAAGAGTAACCATCCTTAAAGTATTTCACTATGTTTCCCATTGAATAGATTATAGTTCTCTAGCAAATTACTAATATTATTCATCATCTCATACTTACAGGCCACTGAGAAATTGTTTTGCTTGTTTTTTGACAGCAAAAGAGAAGGAAGAGACCCTGGTTTCCAGTGGTCTCCTACTAGAACACTGGCTACATCATCTTTGAACCATGTAAAATTTATTAATATCCCCTGAGGGAGCTTCCACGATGATCACAGTCATGAACCACGACTGCACCTAAAGCCTGTTCTGTACAGTAGAGAGTAAAAAACGCCGTCTGACAAATATCGAAGTTACCGGCACGACGTGGGCCTCAGGATGGACGGATGAACAATTCCTTCATTTCGTTTCAGTTTACTCCCAATTAGTACCACCACCATCTTCCATTTGCATCGTCTATCACAGTTTACCAAACACCTTCCCAAATATTATCCCAACAACTGCGGTGATAAAATCAGTCAGGAGACGGAGGAGACTGAGCTACATCAAAACAGTCAAAGAGATCTAGTCAAAACAGATCTAGTGCCCTGGCTGGTGCGGCTCGGTGGGTTGTGCCATCACCCCGCACACCAAAAGGTTGCAGGTTCGAGTCCTGGTCAGGGCGCATACCCAGGTTGCGAGGGTTTTTTCCTGGGTTGGGAGCATAGGGTAGGCAATCGATCAATGTTTCTCTCTCATGTCAATGTTTTGCTCTCTCTCTCTCCTTTCCCCTCTCTAAAATCTATAAACATATCCTCGGTGGGGTTCGTAGAAGCTGAAGTTTCTCCTCAAGGATGAAGCCATTCCTGGCATTAAGCACCAGGGAAAAGAAACCCATGGATCACATTTCCACATGGAGTTCCCTCACTTAGTTCTTCTGTGGAACATCAGAATCAGACACTTCAAGACAGTTTATCTGTATAGTTTATGAATTCTAGTTTACTGACTATTAAGTGATAAGAAAATGAAACCTTTTGGAAAGTTTCGGCTTATCTCAACTGTCTATAATAGGTGTGAAAAAGAAAATGCATTTGTGTCTTCTAGAAAGAATTGTTAATGTGTGAGTTATATGTTCCTAAAGACCAAAGTGATAGTGACAAAAGTAATCTGGATGAGAAAATCCTGAGGGAAAGGTGAAGCTTCGGCAGAGAGTGTCAAGATCACCTTGTCAGCCAAGACATTCTCATTCCAGGGTTCCCGCAATGCTATCTACTCCACAAAACCCATCTCAAATGCAATCTCCTTTAGAAAACCAGCCATGATTTCTCCAAAAGATAGGAATGCAGATTTCCTAACACAGCAAGGAGAGCTCAGTTACGCACCCTTAGAATCTGCCTTATCTTCACAGCCACGACCATCATCTCTAGCTGGTTTCCTCGCACCGGTTCATGTCCCCATACAATCTGATTTCATACTTGCTCTCACAACACCCTACACGGCTCCTTTCTTAGCTTCTATTCAGGTTTGTTGGCATTAACTTGTGTGATGATTTGTTTAATATCTGTTTCCCTCAATGTAAACTCCTTAAAGGCAAAATATAACGGTTGCCATCATGTTGTTAATGGTGAATGGCACCAGATATAACCAGTGAAGTTATAACCTCGGTCCTTGAGCTTGGCTGAGAATGAATTTAGAAGGCCAGAGGTAAGAGAAGTGAGCCAGCTGGGCCGCATGGGGTCAGTAAAATAAGTTACAGAAGCAAAAAAAGAGCCCTTAAAACTCAGGAGAAAGAAAGCGTGGTATGTGCCTTGAAGGATGAAAGGGGAAAGGAAAGGGCAGGAAAAAGAGATCTGAAAGTGGGGACTTTAAGGGTGACCTCAGGGGAGGACCTCAGTAGAATATTCACCAGCTTTCCAGGCCTGTCCTTTCAGGGTCCACGTCTCTGTTGGTTGGTTGGCACTAGGGTAGGGGGTCATTAGTCATTGCTGCTGGTCCTGATGTCAGCTATGGCATTGCTTCATCTGGTTTTGCTGCTTTTCTGGCCCTAAATGTTATCTTTAGTTTGACCAAAACTCCGCCTCTGTGGTCAACAGGCCCAAGACTTTGTTCCTAAGATTATCTGATGCAGGTCAGAACCTCACTGTCCTGGAGGCTCAACGCTTAAGGGAGCGGTAGTGCAAGGGCTTGTATGGGGGGGGTCCTATGAGGCTATTCTCCGGCCCCTGTTCTTCCTCTAAGGGCGTCTACCACAGGACTAGACACGAGCCAGAGGAGGAAATCAACCTGGGGGCAAGGGCCCACCCTGCAAGGCTTGTTTTCCCAGCTCCGCCGGTTGCTAGGCACCCAGGGCTTTCCGCTGCCTGGTGACCCTCTGTGCCTGGCCTGCGGTTCCTGCTCTGCTCATGTCTGTCTGTCTACTAGAGCAATACCATTAGCACTGAGCACACGGTAGGTACTAAAAAAAAGTTGAATGATAAATTAAGTCATTAACATGAAGAATTAAGTAATTAAAGTGTGCGCGTAAAGGATTACCCCCGCGCAGGTCTAGGAGTCAGCGGCCGGCGAGGAGCAGCGTCTGTTAGCACCGCGTCCCGCCGGTGCCGCGGTGCCTCCTGTGTGTAGCGCCCCCTCCACCCGCACACCCTTCCGCCCGGCCCAGCCCCAGCGTGACTGTTCTGCATAGACGCTCAATATTCATTGAGCTAAATTTCATTTTAAGTCAGCGCGACTTTCAGCGTATTTAGGTAGGAGCCACAACATCAACTTTTAGAGTCTGTCCCAGTAAAACCAAAGGAGTTTAAAGACNCCGCCTCCCGCAGACCGCACCCCACGCGCGGCCGAGCCCGCGCCGAGCACCGCGCGGGCCCCCAGGAGCCCGGAGACGCC